ACAGTACAGGTTCTCCTATGTCCCAAGTCTTCACTGACCTTGAAAGGCTAGGGCCAAAATGTTGGCTGACCCTGCAGCCCTTCCTTTTCTAAGCAGGCGCTTTAGATGACTGAAATAACCTCAGCAGGCCCGACTTTATTTTTTGGTACTGGGGTTTGAACTTGGGACCTTGCACTTGCCAGGCAGGTATTTTCCACTGAGCTATCCTCCCAGCCCCCAAAGATGACATTCGGTAGCAACCTAAGTTTTACTTGAGTCCCAAGTTTGTGAAATTTGCTGGATGACAGGCCACTAAGTAAACTCACACCAGTATCTCTACTAGATCCCCTTGAGTTGTGCCCAACATTCACCTGGAGTCAGAGTACCTCAAAGTATTGGTTTTCCTGATGTTTTAAATACTTTACAAATAGCCATCTCTGTATTTGTGGACTAGTATATTCTTTGTATCTGGCTGTTAATGATAAAGAGTTGACTGGCCAACCTGAGGATTTTTATCTTGGTGCGGCCATTAGATAGGTGTGATGGTTTATCTTGTCAGCTTGATTGGATTGGTTTAGTAAACCAGGCCTCTGGGTATGTGGGGGTCTCCAGAGATTTGCATGTGGGACAGCAAACCAGGGTAAGAGATACAACCTGATGTGGGTGGCACCTTCCAGGAGGCGAGGGCCCAAATGGGAAAGCCAGGTGAAGCTCAAGCTTAAAAGCAATGAAGCCAGCTGACCATGGATTTAAACCTCAGAAATCATAAACCAAAGTATTTTCTTCTTTCTTTTACATTTTCTCAGCCATCTTGTCAGTTTCAGAAAGCTAACAAAACTGTAATCCTTTTAAATTCTTAGTTTGGTAACTCAGAATTACCAAATTCTGAGGGGAGGGGAGATAAAGAATCGAGATGTTACATGCATGCACCTACTCCAGGTGATTGTAAACTTCATGTACTAATAAAAAATTTTTTAAGTGTTTTTTTTTTAAAGAGAATAAAAATATAGAAATGGTACAAATTCTGACCTAGTTTTGTTTGTAAACTAAAAATGACTTGTCTTCAATTTAGTTTATGTTGAAACAGAGGACAAATTCTTGAGAATTGACACTCACAAACCTAAAAGGTGAACACTCAATTCTAAGCTATTAGCTTGGCTTGATGTTCCTAACTGCAAACCAAGTTCAGTAGACTTTTTCACTTGCAATCCTTTTTATAGCCTTTGCTGCTCTATTATAAGTTTTTTTTTTTGTTGTTGTTTTGTTTTGAATGGCTCAGAATGCCTGAAGGGCAGGGCTGGTAAGGAATGAGGATCTGGGGATCCAACCACAGCATCAGTTTAGTTTATATGGAAGTTTGAGCTGGGCATGGTGGCTCACACTTGTAGTATTAGTTATTTGGTAGAATGACGCAGGGCTGCAAACAAGTTGGAGGCCAGCCTGGGTAACTTGAGTTGTTGAGGGAGTTAAGGTTAGAACCCAGCACTTCCTGGGTTTGATCTCCAGTACTGTAAATGAAGCCCCTTGGTAGCTATCACCTGTGCCCACCTTAGACCACAAATGCACTTGCAACTCCTGCAGTTTTCCCTTTTCTAGAAAGCCACATACCCGGAACCTTTTCACAGGCTTCTGATCCATCCATACTGTTCATCATATAGTCTGAAGCAGTTTAATTCATTCTTTTTGTTGAGTAGTCTATTGCATGGTGTACCAATTTACTAATCTATCAGTTGGAAGGTTACTACTTTGATTTCCATTAGTGATTACGAATAAAACGCTAATATTCATGTATAGGTTTCTGTATGTGTATGATCTATTTCACTTTGGTACATGCTCACCAGTGTCACAGGGTGTTCGCAATCACGAAACCTTTTTGCAAAGTGCCTCCAGTAATTCTGTATCAATTCGTCAGAGTCCCAATTGCCTTTTACTAACAATACTTTGGTATTACTTATTTTTGCTTTAATTCATATTTTCCCAATGATGTTACCAGTCATCCAATTTCTTCTTTGGCAGACTCTTGTTCAAATATTTACCCATTTTAAGCCTAGGTTGTTAGGGCTGGGAATGCAGCTCAGAGGTAGAGTGCCTAGCATATGTATTATTGGCCAGGGCTTGACACCCAGTACTGTCAAAACAAAAAGAGTCTTTTTGTTTTTGCAGTACTGCTTAAACTGAAGCCTTATGAAGCCTTATGCATGCTAGGCAAAGGAGCCTACTACTGAACCATATACATCTCTTTTATTTTTTGGCAGTACCAGGGATTGAACTCAGGACCTTCCATTTGCCAGGCAAGCACTTATTATACTGAGCTATCTCCCTAGCCCTCTTAGTTTTTAGATTTCAAGGCAAGTTCTGGCTAAATTGCCCAGGTGGCCTTGAACTTGTGATTCTTGGCCTCGGCCTTCCAACAGCAGCTGGGCATAGAGTAATAAACACACCATGTCTGGCTTTTGAGTTCTCAGAAACACAACAAATCCTTCGCACATACATTTAAATACTCAGTACTTTTTTTTTTTAAAGGCAGGTCTGTACACCTGTACTTCAGGCTGACCTCCAACCTGTGACAACTGTCTCAGCCTCACCTGGGATTGCAGGCATGCTCCACCACACCTAGCAAGGCTATTCGACTTAAGAGAAAAAAATAAACGCTTGCTTTAATACACAAGATCATAAGGATTTGGGAACAGTTTTGCTGGACAACAGGCCAAGTTACTGACTAGGCTGCATTTGAAAAATGTAAAATCTTAACTCATTTTTCTTAAGTTTCACTGCTAAAAAGTATTGTGCCCTGATTTTCTAGGCTGAAATTTTTTTTTAAATTTTATTTATTTATTTATTTATTTATGTGTGTGTGGCCAGCTCAGACCACCAGGGGGCGGGGCTGGCTGGCATGTGGTGCTGGGGGATTGAACCGTGGTCCCTGTGATTTGCTAAGCTTATTCTAAGTAGGTGCTTTAGACCACTGAGCCATCTCACCAGCCCCTCTAGGCTGAAATTGAATTACAATAGTTTGCTCTATCTACATAACCATCTTTTTAGACATATGCCCTCTTTTTTTTCCACAAGTTCCTTTTATCAAGGATTTAATGTTTCCTTTTCTTTTTCCCTCCTTTAGTTAGGGGATTCTGGAGTTATAAAAATGTCCTGCGACTCTGCCTACTTTGGAAATTCTTATGTCTTCACAGAGTATAGGTTACTACCCAATTTGTTAACTAGGCAAGGATCCTAGCATTTATCTTGTATATATCCCCAAACCCAGGAATCCCCTTACCAATGATTGTTATATGGGAACTAAAACATATTGAGTAATGGCAAATGCCAACACACCCAAAATCAGAACAGCACAAATTATAAAATCGTAATAAAAGTTCATGCCTGAATACAGCCAATGTTTGCTTAATTAAAAGCTGGTATTACTGTATTTTTAAACTATTCTGAAATTTATCCTAAAAAACAAAGCCAAATAAACCAAGTATTTAAAAAATGTATTTGGTACAGGATCCCACTATGCAGCTCAGACTCTTATTAGTGATTCTTCTGTTTCAGCCTTCCCAGTGCTGGGATTACAGGCATGTGCCACCACACCTGTGTTGGAAGCTGGTGATCAAACTGGGTCCTTGTGCTTGCCAGGCAGGCACTTAGAGGGCTGAGCTATTTCCATGGCCCCAAATAAATCAATTTTTAAAAGTTATGCTGAAACCTCCATTTTCTTCCCTGAAAAAAAAGTAACATTTAGATATGGATAATCACTATTTGGCCTGTTTTTGTTTCTCTTATATGGAAGTTTATGTTCATTAAGCTTTGTTAAAAAACATACTTTTACCCCTCAAACTCCATTTGACACTAGTGGTAATGGAGGAAAACCTTTGCACAAAGTATTGTACTCCCACACATTTGCAGTTTATATCACTTATCCAATGAGAAGAAAATTCAAGGATTTTAGTGCTGTATCCTCAACTAAAACTTTATTTCCTTGAATAGAACATACACAGATCCATGTAAAGAACAGTCATCACATTAGGCAAACTCAGGTCTGCTAACCTGCTAGTTTGAATCCAGAGTCAAACCAGATTTAGATTAGTTACTAACCAGGTTACGAGATTTCTGCTCTTGGTGGTCCTTTGTGAAACACGAGACAATTAAGGTGTCAAAGTGTTTGAAGAAAGTACCTAATTTTTTCCTAACCCAAGTTAACCACTCAATGAATAGTCCTCTCATTCCAAGTGACTCATTAGGTTCCTATGTGCTTCATCTGTGAAAAAATACCTTTCTTCATCCTTATTTCAGATGGAAGGTGCTAGGTGAGTATTTCCACAAACACCTTTTTTACCAAAAAAAGTATTTCCCCCAATATTTGCATAATGAATGAATACACAAACATTTAAATATGAATTCCATGGTGCAAGGTTTCCTGCAAAGTACCTTTAATGGCAGCAAGAATTAGGATGTGCTAAGTTTGGCACCATAAGTTAGGTGTGTAGCTACACATGAGATATCAAGTCATTCCAACCAGTATTTACCCCTATGAATAGAAGAACTGAACAAAAACATAATTCTGATAAAGGCTGCATTCACAAACCCAACACAATTTAAACTATTTTTTTTTTCACAGAGGGCTTCCATTTAGCATTGTTTTATAATGATAAAAATGGAAATTTAGAAAATACTTCACTGTTATTCATTGGTATGTCTTACTAAATAAACCATACCCTCAAGTCAAAATGTTTTTAAATGCCAAAAATCATTGCTATGTTATTGTTCAGCAACTCCATTCAAATAAACTTCGGTACTAGATTCCAGAAAATAATAAATAAATATGCAGCTGAGGCAAACGCTAACAAGTTTGTGTTATGAACTTTTAAAGGAAACACTCCACTCTGCATCCTTTAAGACTGCCACTCTGCTTCAGTAACCTGAATGTGCCACATTTTACTTCAACAGGTAAAGCACTCTGCTGAGAATATAAAAAGTTATAAAAAGGCAATCATAAAAGATTAAGTATTGGTAGGCATGTCAGCTTTCTTTTCATAAAAACAAAAATAGTCATTGTCATCTATTTAAATAAGTATCTTTTGTTACAGAGTGTTCCAGTTATTGAAAAAGGGCCCTTAAAAAACCCAACTGCCTAGATCTTTAAACTCTGCCCTCTTGCTCCCTAACAGACATTTGAGGGAAGAGCTCTTTAATGTGCAAATTGGCAAAACAAATGCAGAGGAGAGGGGACTTCTTGAAATGATATGCCCAATCAATTCTGTTTATTCTTTTACAGTATCAACTTCCAAAAGTAAAATAACCAAGAAAATCTTAAAAATACACAAAACAGACCTTCATCTTTGCATTCCTTTCCAAACACAAAATGTATGTACAGCATGTTTAATAATATGCAATATGCAAAAGCTCCGTGTTGCTGTTAGCAACATCTATATCCCCACCCACCCTCCTTATTCACAAGTGTACCTCTACTAAACACAATTACATCACTAAGCCTGTTAGTTTGAGAGGGTCTTAAATTTGTTAGAACTGGAAAATCTTTGTGTAGGGGCTCCACTCATTTGACTCTAGGTTATAGACTTCCACGGTATTTAGAAATTCATTGCCATCAAATCCTCCCACTGCATAAATGGTGCTCCCCACAGTTGCAATCCCAGCATTGCTCCTTGGTGAAGTCATATTTCCCATCATCTTCCATTCATTTCTATTTGGATCATACATCTCCACACAACTGATAGCATGAGAGCCATCAAAACCACCACCTACAAATAGTTTTCCTAAAAAGAGAAATAAGACAACATAAATCTAGGCTCAGCAAACCCTTCAGTCTGTATTTCTAAAAAACAAATGAAAAAACAAAAACAGCATGTTTTTGAAGTAAAAATGCCACATTGCCCAGGTGTGGTGGTGTAATCCTAGCATTTGGGAGGCTGAGGCAGAGGACTGAGTTCGAGTCTGAAGGCCAGCCCCAACTGCATATAAATAGTGAGACCCTATCTTAGAAATACTAAAAGAAGGGTAATGCCTGTTCATTCTGTCATAAAGTATTTATTGCCTACCAAATGTGACAACTCCTAGAATGAGAAATATAAAAACAAAATGGATAAAAATTCCTTTCCATGTGTAATTTAGCCAGCTGGGGTGGGGGAGCAGCAACAAAAATTTCTCAATTCTTTTTTTTGGGGGGGGGGGACTGGGAAGTGAACTCAGGCCCTTGCACTTGCCAGGTAAGTGCTTATTCTACTGAGCCATCTCCCCAGCTCCAAAAATTTCTCAATTCTTACAGAAGTTACTACTTACACTCTCTCGCAGATAAGCAAACGAGGCATAAGAAGTTGGGCAACTAACCTAAAGATAAAGCTGCTAAGTTTATCTTTGGAAAGTTCCGATGACTTTGAAATACACATGCAAAACAGTCAGTTACACTACTTTCAAACAAAAACTATTAACCACTCTGACTTGGAATTTTTTTTTTTTTTTAAACTGGGGATGGAACCCAGGGCCTTCCACATGCGAAACAAGTATTCTACCATGAGTTATAAGCCCCAGTCCTTTTTATTTTGAGACAAGGTTTTGTTAGGTTGCCCAGGATAACCTTAAACTTGTGATCCTCCTGTCACTATCTCCTTAGTAGCTGGGATTACAGGTGTGTGGCACCATGTCCAGCTAGCTTAGAAAAATTTTTATGAACGATTCTCAAATTCTTTTCCTTCTTATCTGTCACTTCACCTACACTGATCTGCAAAACACTCTTGCTAGGTTCAAAGCCAGTAAGTTACTTAAGCTTTTACCAGCTGGTAAGCCTACAAGATTCTCACTTGTTCTAACAAATGGTTAACTAAATTGTTAACATTACGTTGCACAGTAAATAATAAAATAGCTGTGAAAAGAAGGCTGGGTTGACATAAAAAACATATTTTGGAAAGACATTAAAAGTGATTAATTTCCAATTAGTTATGGAATATGACAACGGAAAACTCAATATATTTAAGTTTTATATCACACTGAATGCATCTGATTTAAACACTTTTAAAGGACAAACACTAATGCCCATTGCATCAAAAGGATAGGTGCTTCTGAACGCTTAGTCATACAAGGGCAGTTACTATCATTCTCATTTTTTTGGAATTTTAGAACTCTTGCCTCTGCCTGCCTTCACCTCTCCATATCACAACACTCACCATCAAGAACTGCTACTCCAGCTCCTCGCCTCGCCACATTCATGGGTGCAATTAAACTCCAGGTGTTATTTTCAGGATTATAACGTTCTACTGTGTTAAGACAATTCCAAGACTCCGCACCTCCGATTATGTACAAATAACCACCAAGTTCACAAACTGCAGACTGATGTCTACCTACAAAATTAAATTAAACCAAATTATTACTACAGCTACCAAAACTGTATGTTCTACAAATTAACACTAACTCACAGGTTAAAAAAAACTTACGAATGTTGAGAGGAGCACAGCTTGTCCATGACTTTGTTACAGGATCAAACACATCACAATTTTTTAGTCCTTTCTGGCCATATGGATCAGAGCCACCAACAATGTACAATTTACCATTGAGAGCACACACTCCTACATAAGTATAAAATATGGTTACATATTGATTGTTTAATACTCATTTAAATACTGGTTGTCTTAGAAGTTATGGTTACCTGCATTACAGCGGTTAGTTCTCAGCTCTGGAACAGGAATCCAGTCGTCAATGCTTGGATTGTACATCTCTCCACAGCTCAAGTCATCCGAGTGGCCATTTGATCCACCTACCACATAGAGTTGGCCCTACGTTCAAAGTGAGAGAATTTGTACTATGCTGAAGTTATGTGGAAAAAACCCAAATGCTGTTATGGTTTGTACCTAGATCTACCCCAACAAGCTTCGGAGGCTCAGATGGGCTTTTCGCAGGTGACGACTGGAACACAGGGCACTGTACTTATCAGTGGATGAGTCCACTTGTGAGGTGAGAACAAAATGTCATGCTGGGAGGTACTTGGAGGAGGGGGGGTCCCTCAGGGTGTAGCCTGGACAGCTGTGTCACCCTTTCGTCTCCCTTTACTCTGCTTCCCAGCCACCATGACTAAGGCAGTTTCTCCTCTGCCATGTCACTCAGCCAACTATGGACCGAAACCTCTAGAAACTTGTAAGCCAAAATAAGCCTGTCCTCCTTTACTTTATTCTGCCTGAGAGAGGGAGGAGGAAAGTAAGACATAAGGTTGTATCTGCAATACAATTTGCTTACCATGAGTACAGCCATTTGAAATCGGGCCCTTGGTGTTCTCATGGGAGCAAGAAAGGACCAATGGTCTGTATGTGGATCATAGCATTCAACTGTTCGAAGACATTCTTCTCTGTTATAGCCACCTGGCAAAACCCAAAAAACTTATTTAAAATATTAAACTGAGGGCCAGGGAGATAGCTCAGTAGAGTAAGTGCCTGCCTGGCAAGTGCAAAGTTCTGAGTTCAATCCCCAGTACCGCTAAAAAAAAAATAAACTGGTCCAGGGTTTCTGGTCCAGAATGGTCTACCTAATGTTCACGATACGGAATAGTACGAACTTTTAGGGACTCATTGATGTTTTAACAAAATGCTTATAAAGGTAAAAGATTAACAAATCAGAATGAACTTACTTGTGGCTTGAAAATTTAGGAGAAAAAAATTTACTCACTGTAGTTTTAAAAAAGTAGAAACAGACTATGGGAGGTATTGCTCAGTGTTAAGAGCATATGCTTAGCACATGTGAGACCCTGGGATGGAAACTGAAGCAGACTGACTTAGTTCTCACCACTCAATAACATTTACTTTTGTCTTTTTAGATTGTCATGTAAGCTTATTAAACTTTCTCCCCAGAAGCTGCATGCCACAGGCAAAAGCATTAGGAATCATTTATGGCTTTAACTAGTTAAATACTTCTGTTCTTACCTGCAGCTATGAGCTTGCCATTCATCTCTGCTGTCCCCAGACCAGATCGTGCATACTGCATAGGAGACATAGGCTTTTCTATTAGGTCATCGGGTTGCATCTCAAAGCTTAAACTCTTGATTAGTTTTGGAGTGCTTGTTGGTGAGCTCTGTGGGCTGTTTCTCCCATGAAGGAATATTACACAGAATATACCATCCAGCACAGCCAGGCACAAGTAAGTGTTATCTGTAAGCACAAAAGTTTTCATGTTCAAGATGTAAAAGTACTAATACTTTGTTTGCTATTATGATCCTGAGTTGGGCTCCACAGTCTCCAGATGCCAGACTGGAACGTTCTACAATTGTTTTCCAAATTTAACATTTTTCTTTCTTTATTTAAAATATTAAATTGACAAAAGTCCTTAAACACAGATAAAATGAAGACAAATCTGGCTATAGTGTCATATACTTACTTGAAGTTTTTTCTGAAGCAACGATTTTCCACTCATGCTTAGGGCTTTGTACTGTAGCATTTGGAGAAGAGAGACATCCAGTGGAACTGCTACTTATCTGCTTATGGCCATTCTCACGGGGTGGCTTTTTCTGCAAAATCAAAAGGCAGCTACAGAAACCTAGCCAAAGAACATCGCTGGTGTACCTCTGTTCCTGAGCTATTCTGCAACACTGCCAAAATAGAGTATCCTCCACCTGTATGTAACCCTTAAGCATACTACCATGTAATACAAACCAACAACCTTCCAATCAACTCAAACTACTACCATGCTTCTACCTCCGCTCAATAATGTACCAACTATACCTACACATTAGCCTGGTCAGAAAAAGCTTATAATTCGAAGAGCCTGTTTTAGATCAAGTCTCCATGTAGCTGTCAAGCCTACCAACTCTATGAATTGGTACCCTTCAAACGGTGCTGACAAAACTTGAGTAGACACAGACTCATCTGTTCGCTCAGTTATTTTACAAGGAAAAAGTGGCAATCACAGCAAACACAAGCATAATTTCTTTAGGGTTGTATTATAAGTATTAGATTGGTTTCTATACAAAACTGCATTAAAACACAAAAGGCAATCAGAAATGAAACACGAAAGAACCAAATATTCACAAAATATAAAGGAATACAAACAAGTGGGTAAACACACTAATTTCCAAAGGATTCTAAGAAAACAACATACCATGTCTGAGTTGTCTATCATAGCTTTTTTCTAATTATATCAGCCTTTGCCACTTCTAAGGGGTATGATCATATGGAACTGGAAGAGCACCTAGATTACCCTGAGAGATGTGTCAAACATCTACTGTACCACTTCCAGCACTGGCCAACTCTGCTCACCTATTTATTTTGGTCCCCAAGGCCAGACTACATAGCTAAATAAGGTTTCTAATGGAAATTTTGTTTGCTAATGGAAACAAAGCCATGTAAAGAATACAGAAAAAGATTTTATAGCTACTGGAATTAAGAAAAAAACAAATTTAGGTCTGGGACACTCAGTGTATATAGAAAAAGGCAGGGAACATACCACATTGGTGGTTATCATTAAATTCTGTTTAAATGTCATCTAAGTATTATTGGGCACTTTATTTACATTACCTCTTTCAATCCAGTAACAGTGACGGACTGGGTCACAGTACGAAAGTATTAGGAATAAAAAATAAGCTTAGTGCTACTTAACCTCATCTAATATTAGGAATTACAAGATACACAAAACCTTATTCTATCCTGTGGGAAAGGGTTCAAAGTATCATAAAGTGTTTTAATTAAGGGATTTGGTGGCAGAACTGCTTTAATGTATAGACTATAACAGAGAAAATGAATGCAAAAAATAAAGGTTCTAACACTGAATGATGCCAGTGTTCATATAATAAGGCTAATGGAGAAATGCTGAGTATCTCCTTTATACATATAACCTTTATCCCTATATGATCTCAGAGGAATTAACAGTTTATATTTATCCTACCTTCAAACTTTCTATTCCTAAGTAGCTTTTTTTAAAGAAAATTATGTTTGTAGTACAGGGACTCGTTATGCAACTTGGACTCATAGTGACCCCTCCTGCTTTCAGCCTCCCCCATGCTGGGATTACAGGCATGCACTGCCATGCCTGGACTCAGTCACCAGCTCAGTGCACCCAGGAGTAGGGCTGGCACAGCAAGGAGTACCAGGATCAAACCTCAATCCCTGTGCTTGCCTAAGCATGTGTTTAGTCCACTGAGCTAGCTCACTGGCCCCCTAAGTAGCTTTTACAAGACAAATAAATTTGTCTTATAATCTAATGGCTCCTTCTTAACCTTTTTTTGGTTGGGGTGGGTGATGGGGACACTGGGAATCACTCAGGACCTTGAGTTTGCCGGACAGGCATTTGTGCTGCTGAGCTGTATCCCCAGCCCTCAAACTTTATTCCTGAAGCCTAATACATGGCTCTCACCCTTTCCACCCCACGATCTCTACTCATTGTCTACTCAATTCCACTCATTCTTAACTGTCCCCCAGCAAAACTCCCTGAACAATCAGTAAGGCCTACTAACTTGACCTTTAGCTCTATTTGTAATAGGTGAGGGATCCATCAAGCCCTCATAATTTATATAGCTCTAAACTACTACCAGCAAGTCTACAAATTAGCCTCACAAACTTTAAACTACCCTCTATGCCAGGTAATAAAAACAGGGAAAAATCCAAGGCAATAACTTTGCAAAGTTAAAATACAAATCAGTTGAGATTCCAGTTCATCTAATAGTAAGTGATTTGTTTATATGACCAAGAATTTACAAATTTTTGGTGAACTGGGCTGGGGAGATGGCTCAGTGGAATAAGCACTTCCCTGGCAAGCGCAAGGGCCTGAGTTCAATCCCTGGTTCCGCCAAAAAAAAGGAAGTAACAATTTACCCAATCTTTTCATTGCTAGGCTATTGCCTAGTTTTCCACAAGTTTGTGAAATATGTGTTATCATCTAAATTCTTCTTGGTGTCTTCAGAATAAAGTATGAACCTCATTCAGGTCACATTTAGCTATTCCCCCGGGCTCATGACCTCCTCCTCCAAGAGCAGCATCTGTATACAAGTACTCTTTAACATTACTACAGCTATGTAAACTATAAAACCTAAGACTGCTCAAGTGTTGGCTTTGTAAAATTCCTCCAGCTTGCCTCTTGTTTCTAATATGCCTTCACTTTAAGCCTTTTGTAGATACTTCTTTTAAGTCTGTATAGTTTTGTTCTAGAAGCAGAACTGTCTTTTGTGCATTTGTATTCCCATGCTGAACATTGTGGCCTATCATTTACTGGATATTCAACTTCTACTTGTTGAAAAGTGCTTTTAAAAAAGTTAGCTTCAGATGTTTACAGTTAAAGAAAAACCCTAACTAATCCAAATAACCAAGTTCTCAACTAATTCAAACCCCAAAATTCCTTACAAAGCATTTAACCACCTGTGGTGACACAGGACACCAGAGTTACTACCTATGACTCTACTATTTATCTTCTAAATTTTAAAGGAAAATATTCCTTAATCTGGGTTAACTCAAGACTACAAATGTAAGGCAAAAAAAAAAAAAAAAAAACAAAAAGGCTAATGGACAAATAAAAATGACATATGTCATATATGTCCCCATTTATATAAGTTTTAAACATAGGCAAACTAAGTTATTGTGTCACAAGTTAGGACAATAGTTTCTTCTGGTCAGTGATTAAGAAAGGGTAGGAAGACTCCCAGGATTCCAGAATTTTTTCCATATAGGAAGTATATATACTGCTTGGCTCATTAGAGGGTATTTCATATTTCAAATATGTGGGACTTGGGATATGATCTGGCAGTACAGCATGAGTCTAACATGTGTAAGGGGGGCCTGCCCCTTAGCTCAGTTCTTTAAGTGGCTGCTTCAACAAAGCAGTCAGGCTCAGGTTGCTGTGGTTCGATCCCCACAACACAAGACAGCCAGTCATGCCTTGAAGGCAGAGAAAAATAAAAAAATAAAATAAAAACAAATAACATGTGTAAGACCCTGGGTTTGATCCCAGTACTGAAAAATAACAAAGATTTATATACTTTTCTGTATACTATTTGTCCATATAGTTTACAGCTGAGATATGTGCTATCTGTATTTGTTGAAAATGTGCCTCAATAAGTGTATCTTTACTTAGTAAATGCAGAGGAAAAAACCAAACTGATTTTATAAAAGGCAAAGTAATTCAACCAACGCAATGGAACTGTTTTAATTCATTTTGTTCAAGAAACATCTAAATCAAGTTGTAACATGATTGACCACTACTGTTTACAATGTATAGTCTGTATTAACTATACCATTTCTAATTTCAAATAATGAGCTCAGTATTAAAGAAACATCCAAAATTTCTTTCATAGCCATCAGCAATTTAAAGTTCCTGTCTTTTTTCTAAATTAGGTCTTTCAGTTATGTCTGTTGCAAATACTTACTTTTCATATCCAACCAAAATAACAATTTCTATATTATTTCATCAAAATGTTGTCTCTTGCTACTTGTAAATCCTAACTTGTGAGGAAAAAAAAAATCTACATGTAGTTTTTTAATTTGCTAGGTTAACTTCTTTTCATGGGGCAAAATACTAATAGCTCTAAGATCTGCTTGTTTTCTCCCAAAAATGTTTCTGTCCAGTCATACAAATGAAATCCATCCACTTTCCTTCTTAAAGGAAAATTTAAGTATGCTGTAAGATTTTCCAGTCAAATTTTATTTAACCTGAGGTTACCTCCGACTGCAGTGTGTACCTGCACAAACTGAATGTGGTCATCATCACTGCCAAACACCTCAGCCTGTCCATCTAGTAGGTTCCCATCAAGCAGCTTGTGATCAGCTGAGTAGTACAAGGTTTGAACCTGCAAAACAGCAACAGAACACCCATGTGGCTACTGTCACCATGGCTACTCCACTAGTATGCAGATCACACAAAGGCCTCAAGGTAACCTCCAGTGTGCTTCTTGAGCTTCTTGACATCTTACTGTGGCAGGATCACAAAGTAAAGAAAAATACATGTCATGGTGGTAAAAATGTAAAAAGTAAAAATGAAAAAAGCCCAAAGTCAACTACAAAATCTTCTAATACTGGCTGAAGAATCCTTGGCTTGACTGGCTTGAAAGAAATCTTCATCTTTTCATAGCTTCTATCATGTAATATTAAGAAAAAAAAAAAGCAGTAGTACAGAATATATACACTTAAAAATATACATATTTACAATGAAAGACTCAAGTTTACACCCTTCGAAGATAAACGGTATGATTTGCATTAACATACTTATCTCCAGTAGACAATGTAAGAAAAACAAGTGCAAAACTTCAAGCAAGCTGTAGTTATCTTCCTTCACAGATGCAAACATATGGCTAATGCATCTGTCAAGTGGGAAATCACAGACTATAAAGATGTTAGTCTTTTAGAACATAATGCCGGCAGTGTTTTTATATGCTTAAACGATCTGGGAAGCCTTTAGTGATTCTGAAAGACTAAGTATAGAGTAATACACTCAAGGCTATGCCACTGCTGCACCTGCATGTTTTTAACTCCCACCATTTGGCTATCAATACTTTTTCATGTTTATTTTCTAAAAGTTGCCCAAGTTAATTGAGTGACTGTATGTATGAACAACACCATTGAAAAACACAAAGCTTTTAAGAGAAGAATCCTGTAAGGAGTAAACACCATTAAATCATCATCGTTCTCTGCCCACAGCGGATTTTTCTTAGGAGAACTGGGGCAGGACTGCTGCTTCTTTACGTGTCAATACACTTGAGGTTTCTTCTTGTTTCTTCAGTCTTGGGTATCCTAGTTTTGTTAATAAACCTATGGGGAGATAAACCAATGGGGAGGAACAACCATTAGAAGCTTTACCTACTTGTCAAATTTAAAGTAAAAACCTGTGAAGAAAAATTAAGAATCTACAGAAAATTTCAGTACCACCTCCCATTTCTAAAGCAAATTACATGCTACTTTAAAGAAAGTTAACAGCACATTATAAGCAAAGAAATAAAAAAAGAAAGCAGAAGACCAAACTGAACAGTTCATTCAGCTCACCTGGACACCCCCCCTGTTTCTCAGCTTAGGGGTACCTATAGCAAAATTTAAATTCTTTAGGGTCATGGTTATAAAATAAAAGTGAAAGGGAATCCTTCATGTTACAGCAAAATAATATTTAAGAATTGTTGAATCCCATTTACTTTAAAACTAACCTCTTCCATCAGCTCTTCCAGACTGTCTCCATTCTCCCAGATGCTACGCTGTACCCAGTTGATTACCTTTGTATACAATTTGCCATTGCTGGGCAAGCAAACATTATCTTCAAGCATCACCTCCAACTAGGATTAGGAAGAAAGAAAGAGACATAAATCAGTGTGGAAATTTCTTAGCTCAATTCTCAATTTGTAATAAAGTTGTTACAGATGCCAAGTTTTATTCCATACACTTAATTTGTGAAGCCAGTAATCAAAAATAAAAAGCAAACTGGTAGGTACCTGTTGTACTACAATAGCAGTAACATATTTTTGTGAACATCATCCATGGACAAAAGACAATGCTTGAAAGTAGGAAGTATGAATCCACTTATATACTGTACACCTTACTTTTAGTCGTGGAAGCTTGAGAAATTCTTCCTCTTCTGAAATTTGTAACAAATTTTCCTGAATGTAGGCATCAACCTTATTCAACAAACGGGCATCTCCCATACAACTTGCAAAATTTCGGTAAGAGATACAGCTGCTAACATCCATCCTAGACAGTAAATAATCACCACAAACCTTGGAAAGAAACACAGAAATGTCAATGATTACATATATTTCATCTAACAAACATGTATATAATGTTCAATGTGTAAGCACCATATGAAGATATGAATCAAAAAAATCACTGTTTTAATACAACAAATTTAACAGTGGAAACAATACATGTACAAATGACAAACATCAAAAGAATGCCATCCAAACAAGTTATTAAAAGAAATATGTGATAAACTGGCATGGCATAGTTTTGAATAAATATTTTCAACTATAGTATTAGGGTGGACTTCATGATAGGCAATATTCAAACTGGGGCCTATGGAAAAGAAGACACGGATGCTGAGTACAGACCAGGTGGAGGAAAGAAGTTGCCAATCTGGTTTGGCTGAGGAAAGGGTAAAACGAGTGAGAAACTATTTTATAAAAATAGCGACTACATTATGGAGAACCTGAAATGCTACATTCAGGAGTATGCGCTATAAATCACAGAAGAATTTTTGTAAAGGAATATGGCACTGGAAGAAGGGCCAGGTTGTGACAGCTATTCTGTTACTGTAGCTGGAAAGCAGCCATAGATTGTCTGAAAAAGAATGCACATGGCTATGCTGTAATAAAACTTTATAAAACAGGCAACTGGCCTATGGCCGTTGATGGACTTCTTGCATTAGAAAGTTAAATGTCTTTTATGAATTATTAAACACTTCTTACTGGCATTAAATTCTAGACAGAATATTTTGAAAGGAGAACCAAGATGTATAGAAGAGACACCTGAGAAGCTAAATATTAAAAATAGCTATCATGCTACTGAAGATTGTCAAAGAAAGCAAGACATTAGCCCAAACTATCTTTCTGACAAGTATGATTTTGCTTTATCATCACCAAGCAGTTAAAACAATATATTCAGTTCTCTGGCAATGGAAGAGGGGAGCATTTTCAGCAATTTAGGACTAAAAATTACTTGGGGACAACTTCTGCATTCTAATTATATAAGTTTCCCCAGAAACAGTAGCCCTCATATTATTTTTTATACCATACCTGCTTGACTCGGTCCATCTTCAACTTTTTGGCTGCGGAATAAACATCTTTCACTAATTCCTTATCAGCTTTCAACCTATCAAAAAAAGTTTTTAATTTTATGAGATCAAGACCTTAAAATACAGATATTTAATTTAAACACAAGGGAGATTTGGAACTTCATTATACTCCCTAATTATATGATTGACTTTAAAGTACTTACTGAGCAGTATAGGCGTAATTCAGTAAGACTTCAACAGCTTCTGGATTGAGATCATCAAATTTAACATGAGACACTCCATGCGGATCGCTATCACTATTAAAGATTTCAAATAAATAGGGACTGCAGCAAGCCAGTACCGCTCTGTGAGCTAACATTTCATGGCCACAGACCTGAAATTATAAAGAAATAAAATAGAAGTATCATTCGCTATGTAGTTCTCTACAACAACCTTTTACCATAAATTTCTAGATAAAGGATTCTCTTAAAAGTCATTTCATTAAATGTCTATGGTGGTGGTGGTAGGAGGGGATAATCCAAGAACTTACAACTTTTAGTAACTGATTTTCTTAGTAAGGAAAGATCAATTCTTTAAGTTTTCAATTAAAATCTAAATACCTGAAGTCGAACATCACAGAACTGGCCACTTTTCCTCAGGGCATTTAATTTGGCAACAGAAGACTCAATAAAATTTTCATCTTCAAACATCAAATATCCATTGGGAATCATTTTTCCTTATAAATTTGGCTAAATAGCAGAAAGAAAGCTTAGTTTATTTTACTTAGGGGTAACCAATTTTCAGTGTATCCTATCAATAACACAAAAATTTTATGAAATAAAAAGTTGGCTAAAGCAATGATGGTGCTCAAAACCCATGTCTTCAAAGTCACTAAGGAGTCCTGAAACCACGTTTTTCCATGCCTATTGCACATTCACTCTGAAGGAAGAAAATGAAACTCCCATTTTGCCCAAACCCATGTAACAGGCAACCTAAAAATCCTAGGGCATGAGGTAGCCATCATGTATACATTTATTTCCTTAGATTTGGGCTAGTGTCATTCCTTAACTCTCAGATGAGAAAACTGTAATATATCTCAAACCCATACATTTTTAGTTTCTGTAAAGGCCCCTTCATTTGACTATTCCTCAAAATTAAATAAAATAAAAATTTAAACATGTAAAACTATTTAAATATTCTCTTGCATCTAAAAGTCTAATTAAGTCTTGGCATTATATTTACCAAGGGATTTTTACAAATTTTTTTAAATAAAGCAAGATTTAAAGATGAAGTTAGCTGGTTGTGGTGCTATATGCCATAAGTTCAGCTACTTGGGAGACCAAGACAAATATATTTCAAGTTCAAAGCCAGCCTAGTTAATTTAGCAAGACCCTGTCTCAAAATAAAGAGGTACAGATTTAGCTGTGACGGCCTTGGGTTCAATGCCCAGAAAGGGGTAGGTGGAACCAAACCTAACCAGTAGGAGATACCAATTATAGAAAGGAAAAAATATATATAAATACTTTTCAAACAAAAGGTTACTGACTTTTCTGCCTTTTTAAGTATGAAAGACTGTTATTGTACTCAGTAGCCTTCAGAAGAACAATTATGAATGGTAGACAGGGACCTGAATGTCCACTTACCTTACTATACTGGTGAGAAATGTGTTACTGGGAGTTGAAATAATCCAAAGGCAGAGGAGTGCTGAAATGAGGCGCTTCGTCAAGGTATGAAGACAGCTGGTTGAGGTGAAGGTAGATGTATCTTAAGCGCTAATGTTGGTACCAAAACTCAGGCTTGAAAATGATGTAATCAAGTCCTTAAAAGCTATAGACATGAATTTCTTCTGTGATAACGATGCACTATAATCTGTAATGACCAAAAATTTAGGTTAGATTTAGAATGATCAAAGTCTGTCACTGACCTAAGTAGAGCGGGTCATGCAAAACAAGTCCTGATCCTTAAGAGATTTTGAAATAAATGGCAAAAATATTCACACTACATAAAAAATTAACAGACATGTACTCATACATAAACACTTTTCACTGAACTGCCAACTACTCAGGTGACATTAAAAATCCCCACAGGGCAGGAGATAATTACTTGTTAAAGAATTAAAAAATACGTATAAATACTGATTGACTCTTGTATTCTCTTAGATCCCAAGTAATAAAAAAAAAAAAAAAAAAAAAGAGAGACGTCTGTTTTTTATTTAGGAGCTGGCAAACAACCTTTGGGCATGATTCCCAAACAAGTATATACTGTTTCCCAAAATGTGCTCTACATGTTGCAGCCTCCATACCTTTATGTAAGTTATTCTACCTAAAAACAGCCTTAATTCAACCTCTGCCAGATGAAATCTTACAGCCATAGCCTGCAACATCCCTACACCTGAAAGTAATTTCACCCCATTTTTCATATATAGAAACCATCCCTAAAGGGGCCAGGGAGATGGCTCAGTAGAATAAGCGCATCCCTGGCAAGTGCAAGGGTCTCAGTTCAATCCCTAGTTCTACCAAAAAAGAAAAAGAAAAAGAAAAAGAAAGAAAGAAATCATCCCTAAAAGGCAGGTATAATCTTCTTGCTTGTCTGCTCTATGTCCTGTTTAGTTTACTTGTTTATCTTCCTTAAGTCTAAGTCCATAAAAAGACAATGTTTGCCTTGTTCATATTTCATGATCTTCATTACATCTTTCTCAATACAACTACCCTAAAACTTGAATATAAAGATTAGTAAATTGTTCACACTAAAAAAAAAAACAACAACACATGTCTGTGCTTTGCATGATTTTTTGCATATGCAAAATAAATCAATGAAATAATTCTAGTTCAAAACAAATCTCCAAGGAGCTCAATCCCCTTCCCTACTTCCCTCATTTTCATATATCAATTATTATGTCAAATTTATATGCTATTTTTTAAAAAAACCACCTGAACTGATACCAAGTTACTCTCTAATGCAGGGAAATAGAACTAGAAAATTATGTGAAATATTTGCATAGTTATGGACACCTTAAAATAAACCTTGATTTGCTTTATACATGTATCAAAACTACAATTCTATCAATTATTCTAAGGTGACTGAGTCATCATTTGCCCCAAGACTCCACTGAAGGCCAGTCCAATTCTAACTCAACAAACACATAGTGAAGGCTTAACATGTGTGCAATCTGTAAGGCAGCTGTTTCCCATATATCCCCTAACTGAGGCTTCATTTCAAGGAAGCTCCAGTATTCCAACCCAGACTGTTGTCAATGCCCACTTTTTCACCAAATATATCATACCATTATGTAACTTTCATTGAAGTTGATTAACCCTGCTTTTTCTTAAGAAACTAGCTTTAACAAACACTTTCCAAATTCATTGGCTGGGGATATAGCTCAGCAGTACAGTGCCCGTCTGGCAGGCACAAGGTCCTAAGTTCGATTCCTGACATCTTCCCCCAATTCTTCTCCCAACCTACTATATACACAGAACACACTATTCTAAAGACTTGGCTCAAACTAAGAAAGTCTTTTTATATATCATTTGCACTGAACCAGCTATCCACAGGTATACTTGGCAACTCTTCTTCAGTGATTTATTTGATACAGAGCCTCACTACGCAGCTTGGACTCTCAGTGATGCTCCTGTCTCAGCCTCTCCAGCACTGGGATTACAGGCATGTGCCACCATAACCGGTGTCAGTGGCCAGGCTAGCACAGCATGTGGTACCAGAATAGAACCCTGGTCCTTGTGCTTGACAAACAGGTGCCTCAAGCCCTGAGCTACCTCCCCCAGCTCCCCCTTCAGTTTTATAACATGTACTTAAAACAAGGGTGGTGGTGCACACCTGTAATCCCAGCGCCAGGGAGACTCAGACAGGAGGATCACTGTGGGTCCGAGCTGCATAGCAAGACCCTGTACCAAATAACTAACTAGATTAATGAAAGATTAAGAAAAAAAAAAAATTGGTGAAAGGAGCACCCAAACTTTTATATGATAAAAATGCATCATCTGGGCCACTGTGCTTTCTTTTATGTGGTGGCCCACCCTGACACTGTACGGTGTACTTCCTTTATATGGCCCAAGCTTGCTCCTGCAGAGCCTGTTTCATTTCCTATCATTAATAAAATTTTGTTATCAAAAAATAGATTTTAAAAAATGCATCACCTGGAAAGGTAAAACAAAAGGTCAAAATTCACAAATATTTTAAATGTTGACCTATTTTATTTCGTATTTTTGCAAATCTGTCTTGATCTAAACAATAAAATGTCACCTACTTATTATTTGACAAAGTAGATGTTTTACCTCAAGTTTATTTGGAAAGAAAATTATTCAGAATTACTGTAGTAATTTACATCTCATGAAGAAGTTTTGGAACAACTCTTGGGATACAAAGTTGTACAGTACTGTTATTGTTATGAGTTCTCCAATAGTCTTGTTATATTTAGTACTTGACTTTTTGTGCATCAGTCTTAACATGAACCTCATTTCTTTAATATCTAGACTAGCTTTTAAAATCAACAACCCCAGTTAATTTTAAAAGTTAGTCCACACATGGATGACATTTAAGTTAATACAAACTGGTTTTTGAAAGTTCACATTTATTTTCACTAAAACAAGGTTAGGCAAATCAAGAATTCTAAACCAGCCCCAAAATTCACAAATCTTACTTGGTTTATGAAACTCAAACACAATTAGGAATTAAAAGTGGGGAGCTGTTTTTCTTTTAAAAGCCAAACTAGAAGCCCAATCATCAAAGTCACATAAGAGTAAGAACATTTTGCTTGGTACTTAAAGTACACTTTGAATTAATCTACTTAAAATTAAAACGGAGGTCAAAATGATATAATGATAAATATATTTCAATTATTTAGTATGGTCAGTGTAAGAAACAGAACACAGATTTATAAGTAATTAAAGTGCTTCAGTAATACTCTGAAATTGACAACTTACCACAGTTCACAGAAATTATTGTAGGTGAAAAACACAATTCAACAAGTGTTAAAAGAGTTGTGATAATGGTAAACATCATTATGTCCCATCCCCCAAATTCTTCTCTGGCTTTACAGCAAGACAAAAAATTAAATGATCAGTGTGGTTCTCAGTGGCAGAGAATTTAGTACAAAAAAAGGCCCTATTGATCCAAACAACACCAAAAATAAGTAAATAAAAATTCAAAAGCATTCTTTAAAAGGCAAATTACAAATATTTAAGCATGACAGTTTTTTGAGGGTACCCAAAGACAATGTAAATGGACTGATCTTTGTTCCTTGTAGTGCACTGAGGATCAAACCCAGGGTCATAGGCATGCTGAGAATGTCCTAAGTCTCAACTCTGTAGACTCAGAAGTTCTGACTCTCCAAAGTCACCTTTACAAGCCACTATCAATCATCATTAATCTAAATCAAAACTCAACCAAACTCGCTTGTTCCACACTATTAATTTCATAGTTGTGATTTTTTTTTTCATCATTACAACACGAACATTTGTGGAACCAAACATATGGCAGGCACAAACTGGAATGGAATGCTTGCAGCAGTGGAGTTAACTTCCCAGCCTTGAACACTTCACATACCAGACAAGGTGAGGGTAACTATACAATGAAAATAGCTTACACTGAAGAGGAAAGAAGATATGACAATGAATATATGTCAGAAACTGTGGCTATTTTGGTTTTAATAGATTGTAGACCACAGGATGTACATAATAATGAAAGCAGAAGCAAGAAATAGAGCCTAATTTTTAAACAGTGCTGTGTACGACACCAAGTAAAGGATTTAAGCAGGGAATAGGGTACTACAGCAGAAAAGTGGGGGGAGGGCTGGGGGCTGGGCCCAGAGAAATGAGTAAAAACATGGACACAAGGTAATTCATTAGACTCTGTATACCCAGGATTAGTTCTTAACTAAGGCAGTGGGGCCCTAAGATACTTTTTTAGGACGCTATAGTATCATTACCATCATCAACTTAAAAAAAAGAAAAACAGGGAAGCATAACCATTGGTTTTTGATTGTTTCATGGAGAAAAACAAGAAGGAAAAGAACTGGTTTGCAGTTTGATGCTGAGGTACCTTCTGTACATCCAGGTTGATATCAAAAGCATAAAGTATACTGATCTCAGTCTAAGTTTAGGAACGTCTAAAAGGTGGTAAATGATGTGTACAAGTACATATTTTCTGTGGTTCTAACAAAAATCCCAGAAAACATTTCTGTCATGCTTCACTTTACTTCATAATGCTTCACTTTACATCCAATAGCACAACACAAGGCGGATCTCCAACCTTGAAGATTTCCTACAGGACCGACTTAACAGTACACTCAATACTGTTAAAACGTTCAGGATTTTTTAAGATTACCTCATCTGCAATGATTAAGATATTTCTCTAATAGGACAACATTCAAATTAAAAAACTTACCACAAAACCACACTGAATTGCCACCCAAAGTACCCAAGCAAGAAAAACCAAACTCCACTTTCAAAACGCAGCTAAAAAGATACTAATTTAAAACTAAAATGCTTTCTTGGGGGACTAGAATAAAAACTACATATTAAGATAAAAGTTAAAGAAATTAATGTCTATTAAAACATCTTCTCCAAGGAGGAAAATACAGATAAAAAAACATTCCAGGTCTCTCTGGTCAGTCAAATCTCATTCACCAAAGTAAAATGCCAGTAACAAGTAACCTGCTAGGTGGCATCAAATAACACTACTCTGAATTCAATTCTAAAGCCAGTGTTTACTCACGTCCACGTTTACAAACTTCTTTAGAATTTTAAGGTCGAAATTTCAGTAGGATTCAGACTAAAATCAGTAGTAGTTTCCTTAAATCAACCATTGATGGTATTATTTCAAAAAATGGTCCCGTTAGTCCACGATATACTTGTTCAAATGTTAGGCAGAACACTAGGCTTCCAGAGTTAACGTTTACTATTAAACAGGAGACCATGTGCCCAAAAACTCAAAGAACAAACTGATGCCACGGTATTCTGGCCTCCATCACCGACAACAGACACTAGGTAACATAAATGCAACCTTCAGCACATCTGTTTTCCTGTCTGAAACGTCACCTGTATCGAACCACTTCTCTACTACGTATATGGGGAAACCCCCCCAAAAAACAAATAAACAAACAAACAAAAACTACTCCTAAAGCATTCTGGTTCAAATGTCCCTAAATTTAACCTTCATTTCTGATACTGCCTGATATCGTCCTAGCAAGAGCATAGGACTACAAACGTTTTGCAAAATGCGTGAAAAGTCAAAAAATAAAAAGGAGCTAACCTTTCCACCTATTTCTTCCGTAAAAGAGTGGCCCGAGCCCCAGAGTGCCCGTGGAACCCTAGATCTTTCTCCCCGCAGATGGCGCCCCCACCCCAAGCCGCGCGCTCGGAGCCCGGCGCCGCACACCCCCGCCCGGGATTGGTCGGCCCCGCAGTCACTCAGCGCCGACACGTCAGGGCAGCCACTCCCAAGCTCCTCCCGCCCCCTTCTCCCCGCGCTTGGCAAGAAGAGCGGGCAACGTGGAGCGGGAACAAAGGACCCCGCGGCCCACGGCGGTAGGGGACTCGGAGCCGACCCCTCCGGGCCGGCGTGCCCAACGCGGCCCAGGGCGGGCTCGGCGCCCACACGCGCAGGGCCTCTGAAGGGTTCGCCGAGGAGCACTCAGACGCCGTGCCAGGCGTCCGTTCCTGACAGCAGAACGGAGCTTCCCGCGCCCCCCTTCCGGTCAGTTCAGCCACCGCGCGCGCCCTGCCACTGGGCCCACGGACCCCTCGAGCGAAAGCCTCGGTCCTACCACTCGCCACCGCTGCCCCGGCTCAGACCAGGGTCTCGGGCCTCCACGCTGGCCCGCGGCTGCCATCGCGACCTGGCAACCATGGCAGCGCCCGGCGCGCCAGCGTCAGCGCTCCGCACTTCCTACCATCTTCCCGGCCGCCCGCGCCTCCCCTCACCTCGGGTCCCAGCCGCTGGCTCGCCCGCCTCAGTCCATTACCTGGTTCATCTCTGAAGAGATGGAAAACCTCATCTCCAGAGCTTCGATGGGGAGTAGGAGGAAGCGGGCAGGAATGAGCCCAAAGAAAAGCGCCTCGAGGCGGCGGAGGGGGGCTAGAATGCAGCAGAGAGAACGAGCGGTCAGTCCGCGGAGGCTGTGGCGCCACTGAAGTCTCGCAGGAACGCTCCCTCGCCGGCACAGGCGCCTGAAGCAGCAGGCGGACAACTGCGCCCAGCCCCTCCGACAGCTCCCGCGAGCGAGCGACCGACCTCGGCGCGCGTCCCGGAGACACTGCCGCCGCCCGCTCTCCCGCACCGCCGCGCACGTCACCACGTGCGCCGCCGCCGCCAACGCCTCCCGGCCGCTTCCGGCTCTAAGCCCTCCGCGAATCACGAGCGAGCTCCAGAAAGATCCAGCGCGAGGCCCCGCCCCTGTTCCCGCCCCCTTCCGCCCCGCCCTTCTCCTTCGCGGGCTGGAGCTGCTTCCTTCGCGGCTCAACTAGGTCAGCGCAAGGTGATCTCGGGGAGGGAGGCGTCGATGCGGCTGCACGCGCCACCTTTCATTTGTCGCACGGTCCTTCCCTCTGCCTCTTTCTCGCCCAGCACCCACACTTCGCCCTTTCAGACTTTCCGGAACTGGTTGCCTTCCGTAGCACTCACCTGTTCTATGTTCCTTTCCGGGCACAATAGTCCGAGAGATCCGGACTAATTGGGCGATTAGATTTCTCCTCGGCGTCAAGCTGACTTGTAGGCAGCCGCGCTGCGTCGGCGCTGCCCGCATTAAGCCTGAGTAGTTTAGGCTGCAGCCCTTACCTTTAGGGTGGAGGGGAGTGGAGTCGATGAGCAAGGAGAGGCACTTGGAGAGGAGTTGAACAAACCCTCCTTTGGCCTGTAGGCGAACAGATTCAGTAACTTGGAAGAAACAGTTGGAGAAACATGGTACTATCCTCACTGCCATAAAAGCCAATTTATTTGTGCCTTATGTCCCATGGGTTTTTGCTTCTGAAAACTCTGGGACAGTTCTTTACTAGTTCTATCCTTTTTCAGAGAAAAAAGAAAATTGCCATGAGAATTTATAGCCTGTGTCCTAACACCCTGAGGCCTGTAACAAGGTACCATCTTATATCCACACCCCACCACCTTGTCCCCGAGAGCATATCTGTTGAGGGCAAACGTGGTTTAGATTGGGCTCAGGCAGTAACTGGCTGTGACTCTGAAAAGCAGTCTACAAAGTTTCTTTCATTGAAGGTGAGGGGATTTGATAAGATTATATCCAGTATAATTCATTACATAGAAGTTACATCCAAATCAGGATTTGGCAACGATCTCTAGATTAATGGCCTGTTAATTTATGGAGACTTGTGGAAGGCACTTAGTCTAGACCTAATCTTGTTTGTATCTGGCCAGCTTAGTTCATAGACATTTCTAGTTTTGCCAATAGTTCCTACCATCTTCTATTGCTGACTACTTAATTATGCTAAGGAGGATAGGAAAAAATAATTTATGGGGTCTTCATTTGCAATAGAACTTTACAACTTTAATTATAAAACCTTCGTGCAAGGAGACTAGCTTCCTTTTTTTTTGTTTTCTGTTAGAAGATGAAACAGGAACCAAAATATCAGCATGAATTTTATATCTTAAGAAGTAAAGGCTGACATTTGCCATTAGGCTTTTGTTTTGTTGGTAATAGTGGACATCAGTGTTCACTTTTATTGCAAATGAAGCAATTGAATGTTAAGCCCTTTTAATACTTTTAAGGCTTCATCCTTGCACTAAGAGGATATGAATTGCCCACTTTGGATGGACACGTGACTGTGTGGCCTGTTGGACACATGATCCCACTTGCTGTACTCTAAATAGTGCCTTTGTGACCTGAAACAGTCAACACTTTGCTTAAAGCTACAGTGTAATCAGAATTAAAGAATTTCTTGCCTTTACATATTTTCTTCTCTACGAATGACTGCATAGTTCATGCATTGTTTCTGTTTTTGAGGCAGCTCAGTCTGCCCAATTACTATGTGATACCTACTAGAACTTGAAACTGGAGCACCAGGAATACTTTCAGTTTGGGGAAGTAACAAAGTATGAGGCTTTACACTGGGGCTAGGGTTACAGTTTAGTGGTAGAGCTTTTGCCTAGCCTACACAGTGCCCCAAAAAGAACATAGATTTCGTTCTGAATATGTAAATTAGACATTTGGAGAGTACTTAATAAAAATAAAAATACTATATTCTTTTTTTTTTTTTTTTGCGGAAATGGGGATTGAACTCAGGCCCTAAAAATACTATATTCTTGATTACTTATTTTTGTGGCAAGCCTTCAGAAAGAGAAATTCGGAATTGGGAATTGGTGCCAGTCTGCCATCTTTGTATTTTTCTCACTGACCCTGCCTATGTCTTTCCCCATATCATACTCTCGTTTTGTTTAAACGCCAGTATTTATTTCATAGAGCTGCTATTTCAAAGTATCACAAACTAGCTGTCTTTTATTTTTAATTTGTGTATTTGGTACAGGGTCTCACTACGCAGCTTGGACTTGTAGTGATCCTCCTGTTTTCAGCCTCCCCAGTGCTGGGATTACAGGCCTGCACCACCATGCCTGGGCTAGGTGGCCAGCTCAGTGGTCGGGGCAGGGCAGGCACGCCCAGTGGTACCAGTGTGCTTGCCTAAGCAGATACTTAGTCCACTGAGCTATCTTGTGGGCTTACTAACTAGCTGTCTTGAACTGAGGCCAGAAGATTGAGATCAAAGCGTCTCTCAGGACCACACTCTCCCTGCAGCACAGTAGAAGGCCTATTCAGGCATTTCTTCTACATTCAGGAACTTTCTTGGCTTTTGGCAGCAGGATTCCAATCTCTATGTAGCATTTTCCCTGTGTTCTAGTACTCCATTAGTTGTACCAGAGTAGGGGCTGTCTCTTCACCTTGACTTCATTTTACTAAATCACCAGCTATTATTTCCAAATGAGGTCACATTTTGAGGCACTGGCGATGATGAGCGTCCACATATGAATCTTTGACATACAATTCAACCCATAACTCATCTGTCTCTCTCAGGTATGGTTACTGACCACATTTGTTAGAATTACCTGGATGTTTGTATTAGACTCTTCAGACAACTAATTTTCGAAGAAAGGAAGATATTCCCCCACTGGTGTCATCATTGGTGTCCTGTTGCCTCCCATCCCCTCTCCCCCAATGTTTGTCAGTGCCTGGAAACAGCTAAGGGAGAGGTGCTACTTCTACCTAGTGGACCTGGAATGCTACTAAACATACTGCACACTGCTGTGTACAAGCTAATTTGAAGTCTCAAGGAAAGGAGCCTAGAGATCTGCATTTGTCAAGAGTGCTAGCAACTAGCACTTGCACTTATGTTTGAGCAATCAGATACAAAATCTCTTGGTAGAAGGACATTTCTCCCCAAGGTATTAGTCACCTCTCATTTATTAGCCATGCTTGTGGTTTTTTTTTTTTTTTTTTGCAGAACCAGGGATTGAACTGAGGTCCTGCGCATGCCAGGAAGTGCTTATTCTACTGGCCTGATGATACCTTAATAGCCTAAGAGTAGGAACTAGAAGATGGTGTCATAAAAGGTACAAGAGGCTTAGGGAAAAAAGCCTTTAAAACTTCCAGACTCTCACTAAAGTAGATCACTAGAAATTGTTACGTATTTTGATGTATAACAAATTAAGAACTTGAGGTTTCTCTAGAAAAACTGTGTTGTTGTTTTTTTTAAAAAAACAAATGTTTCCCATTGAAGAAAGTTGTAGTGGATGAACTAATGGTCAGCTTGTAACACCCAGCTACACTTTGTGGTTCTGGGTGTGGAAGGCCTACCTGAAGATTGTTGCCCATAGCATAAAAGGAGAACTGGAGGGGAAGGTGGCGTGCTGTTGGTCCTACTGGATAAGCCTGTTGTGCTGGTTTTCCTGATAGGAACTCAGCTGTTCTCATCATTGGAGGAGCTTGGGTCCTTGTCACTGAGGATGGCCGCAGTTCTTTTCAGGAGAGCTCTGTTCCTTTGAGTGTTGCTTCCTGGCTCCAGTGCGGATCCCTCAGGCTGCTGGCACAGATCCTTCACCCTGCTGGTGCAAACTTTTTAGCTTCTGTCACTGACCTTTGGGCCTTTCCAGTGCAGCTCCTTGATACAGAGTTCTATGAGACATTGTGGGCTCTATGGCAGTTGGACTTCAGTTGGACTCATGCAGGACATTGCCGTGGGATCCAGGCTCTCAGTTGGATTCTTTGGGTCTCTACTGTGTGGACAGATCCGTGCATTTGATTCTTTGGGTGAATATTATTAAATAATCCTATGAAGTATGAGTCCTGTGTTAAATCTATTCCCTTGTAAACCCTGACAAGAGTCTCCTATCTTCCTGGTAGGACTTCAGTAAACTTTTTTTTCCCTGTATTTTAGGGAAGGGTCTACAGGGTGCTCAGGGTCTCACTACTAGATCGGACTTGTAGTGATCTGTCTGTTTACAGCCTCTCAAGTGCTGGGATTATAGGCGCACGCCATGGTGCCCAGTCTCAATTGCTGTCTCAGCATGCCCTGGAGGCGGGGCTGGCATGGCAGGCCCGGGGATCGAACCCCTGTCCCCTGTGCCTGCTTGCAGGTGCTTTAATCTGCTGAGCTATTTGACCAGCCTGACTTCAGTAAACTTTTAATATAAATAATGCAAACTGTTCAGCTTAGTTTATTGTATATTATTCATTCTTTTTATTTATTTATTTATTTTTTTTTGCAGAACCAGGGATTGAACTCAGGCCCTTGCGCTTGCCAGGGAAGTGCTTATTCCACTGAGCCATCTCCCCGGCCCTCATTTATTTTTTAAAGACAGTCTCACTATGTATATCATGCTGTCCTTGAACTCACTTTGTAGCCCAGGCTGACCTTGAACTCATGACAATCTGCCAACACACTTGCCTATACTTTATTTATTTCATCCAAGGATTATGAAATTATTCAAATATCCCAGAATACTTTGGTCCTGAATTATCTTTTTTAAAAATTATTTAGTACAGGGTGTTCAGGGTCTCACTACACAGATCAGACTAGTGGTCTTACTGTTTTCAGCCTCCCAAGTGCTGGGATTACAGGAGCGTGCCACCATGCCCAGTCTGTCACAGCACGCCCTGGGGGTGGGCCCAGCAGACACTCTAGAAATAGAACCCGGGTCCCTGCATCTGCCTAAGCAGGTGCTTTAATCCACTAAGCTATCTGGCCAGCACGAGTTCTGAATTATCTTTCCGGGCTATTTCATTATCTAAGGAGATGTAATAATTATCTTTCATCTATTTTCTAAAATCATCACTGCTAAAGGGTTTTGATATCAACTCTAGCTTCCTCTTTGGACAGTGAAGATGCTCTACTAATGTCTTTCTTTTTCAGTAGTTTCATAGAAATTAAAACTCATGTCATTCAGATATTCTTCCTGTGACATCAATAACCTTCAAGCCCTTTGCATCTTTGACATGTGGCTAAAACTGTTATATATTCAGGTCTCTCTCATGTGCAGTGGGTTTCCTGGAGGCCTTTATCCAAAAAAACAAACAGGACCTTTTTAAATCAACCCGTTAGCTGTGGATAAGAAAAGCAAGGAGTAAACAGCTTTCATAATAGCTAAGTCTTAATGTAAATCATCAAAATTAAGTGTGTAGACAAAAGGTGTTATAATGAAATCTTCTTGTAGGCCAAAACGTGATACCTGATAAATGAAAGTTACATGATATAGTGGAACTGGGCTAGCCAGCCAACTATTGCTAGTGAAGTCAAGAGACTGCCCCAAAGAATAAATCAGGACAGAAAGCATTTGGGTTATAACATTAGGTCTCCCTTATCTGTACTTCTGAAAACAACCAGAGTGAAATACAAGGAGATGATGGTGACATTTTGCATGATTGTAGTAAATTTAGAATTCTAATTTCCAGCCAAAGATGAAAAGCTACAAAGTTGTTATCGAAAGGTCTCTTGTTTCTTGGAGTCATACCTCTCTGGGCATCTCCAAAGTCCATGCCTTTGGGGACAAAATTGTAAAAAAAAAAAAAAAAAAAAAAGAAAAAAAAATTTCCCATTATCTCTGATACTTTTTACTAAGGACAAGAATGTAAAAGAAAAATTATTTTGGGAACATTCCCTACAAACAGTTCTTACCGATGTCCTTCTCCACTTCCATCCTCTTCTCAGTATCTTGCTTTTTATGTCCTTTAGGGTCCAGTTAGTACCTTAACACTTCAAAAAAGCAGGTAGTGTAATCGAAAGAATGCTAGACTTGAAAGCTTAGTCCCCAAATCTGGCTGTTATTCCAAAGCAAATGACTTGTGTTCTCCCTGACACTGCTGTCAAATATTTAAAATAGGAACAATAATGCTTACATTACAGAATTATATACTTGGCACATAGTGGGAGATAAGTATGTGTGTATGTATGTCAAACCTCTCCCAGTTATTCCAGCATATGTGACTTTTCTTCCATCTTTCTAAATACTGACATACCACTTCTCAAACTCACTGGATACTTAATACACCACAGGGTACTTCCATAGTTACAAAGAACTGAGTGATGTGAATCTTTGAGCACATAATGTTAATGAGCTGTTGAGTTTAGAAAAAGTATCACTGCTATAGTTTGGATCTAGAAAGTTCTCTAGAGGCCCATGTATGAAAGGCCTGGTCTTCAGCTTGGTGCTATTAGGACATGATAGAGCTTTTACTTTATTTTTATTTTTATTTTTTGGGTATTTGGTACAGGGTCTCACTATGCAGCTCGTACTTGTAGTGACCCTTCTGTTTTCAGCCTGCCCAGAGCTGGGATTACAAGCATGTGCCACCATGACTGGTCTCACCAGCATGGCGTGTGGTGCCGGAGATTGAAACCTTGTCTCCATGCTTGCCTACACAGGAGCTTAGTCTGCTGAGCTATCTCGCCAGCTCAGTGATGGAGCTTTTAAAAGGTATAGCCTAGCTGCGTGAGGTGGTATACACCTGTAATCCAGGTGTTCAGGATGCTGAGGCAGGAGGATCACTGTGAGTTTGAGGCCAGTCTGTGCTATACAGTTCAAGGCCAAATTAAGTACAAAATGAGACTCTGTCTCAAAAGACCCACAAATAAGAAATAGGAAAAAAAAAAAAAAAAAGTAGGCCTGAAGGGAGATCTTGGATTATTAGGG